GCCATAGACTGCAAGCAGCCGGGGCATATGTAGCCATTTTGCAGAGTCGTTCTCTTTTTCAAAAAAACAAAGTAAAATGAATAACGAAAGGAGTGGACATTTCTGATCAGAAACCCTGCCCACCATACACTCAACACGTCCATTGCTACCGTCGGTTTGTTTGACTTATCTGCATGGGTCGTTTATGTTGTAATGTTTATGTAGCGGGTACTATACCCAGTGTGTAGAATTTCCAACACAAAAGACTTCGTATTATAAATGGGTAAACATAAACGTTATAGTTCTATAATTTACGACCCAACCGAGAAATTAGAGTATAGACCTAATGAAAACGATCGTCTGTATTTTTTGCGCGGGCTTTAAAACCCACCAACAGCACCACAGCTATAGCGCGTCTGTATTGCATTGAATGAGTTAATCTGAAGAAACGTTTCCGCAAGAACCATATATTTTTGCCCGTAAAGAAAAATATACGATGTTGAGAGATGTAATCAAATTTTGTACAAATAGTTGAAATACCCCGCTGCTACGTTTAGATTCACGACTCAAACTATATAATAGCACATACAAAGGAAACCATGGTAACATAACTTGATATAGTGGAAATATACTATTATAAAAATTGAATCAGAGTAAATTTTATAAAAAAAAACTACCTCGACCTATCGGTTGATTTGTCTTATCAATATTAGGAAGACACTGAGTGTGCCTGTCAATAAAGGGCGGTACAAGTTAGATGCCATCCCCGAACTATAATTGCATTTGTGGTAGATGTGCTAATTCCAGCTGTCAGCTAAGATGTGACAGGAGACAAGGGCTTACATGGCGCTAAATCATTTCATTCCGGGTACAGTAAATTCAGATGTTTGCAATTTTGTTTTTGTTTTTTCTCTCCATTATATAAAAATCTTCCTGTGAAAAGATGGCGGTTTGAATACCTTCGTGTCCTATATATGGTACGTACTCTGACATGATCATTAAAAACATAAAATAATCATTTTTAACATGGCAATTCGCCTTTTTTTATCTAGTTCCGGATTTGTCTACAATATACATGACCGTGGAATATTGTCAAGCGCTCAACTGCAGAGACCAGAGATAAATACCGCCTGTCTGCATGCCAACTCACAGGGGACTGTCGAACATATTAAACGATCGGCACATATTTCACAAAATTAACTAGGCATTCGTGTTGCATGAGGTTACAAATATATACAAGTCTTGTCAATGCAGAATTTACATGACCCAAGACAATTCAAATGTCTATTCACAAATCACTTAATTAAGAGCAATGGTGGCGGAAACGATCGCAAAATATTGCCTCCAAATTTCCCTGAAGTATTGTTCCCTGTGGTAAAAGCAATTATTACCCCCTGACTAAACGTAGTAAATGTGTCGGCAATTGAAACAAGAGGTGTTTCCTTCTTCTCGTCGTCATCACGTCACATTTACTGTCTCACTTTCTCAAGCAAGTGTCGTCTGCTACTGCCAATGCGCCAAATTCGTCACACCTTACACAGAGAGCACCTTAATATGGTATTCTTCAAACACATTTGGCACCAATTAGCACTAATTGGCTGGAATATGCTGAAACATTTTGTTATCGCTTTATTTATGCTCCCATCAACTGGGTTAAATTTTGTCAAATTATTAGATTTCCCGCGGACGTAAATTCCGCTAAATGATGTCATTAATTGTACACAACTGCTCACTCGTTTCCAATATACATAACTACTCCCTATTCGTCATTACAAGTCACTAATTTGTTCTAATATTCTACAAAACCATGTCAATATACGGTCTAATTATTAACATTATTTTTTTTCAGTGTGAATTTTTTGTGTTTAGCGAACGTATCGTGACAGTTATTAATATTTATGTATACGCGTTTAAAACACAACGACCATCGTTAATACAATTTGCGAAGTTTAATAATTATGATTAAATTTTTAAAATTATTTCATATTACTCCCGATAAAATGACTATGAGTATTTCAGTTTCTTCATACCAGAATTAGTTTACTATGTTCAATTTAGCCTCGAAAAATGTCAATAAAGCCTGTGGGTACCGCCCGGTGTTAGAATTCAAAGAGTTGCATTGTAACTGACTGGTTAGTGAAATCATTTAGATACATTCATAGTAAGTAACCTATTGGCATAATAATTAAAGGATTACATAAGAGTAACCTTCTGGTTTACTCATACAAGTAATTGCCTGGTAAGTAATCGACTGGTGTACTGATACACGTAATTGCCTAGTAAGTAATTGACTGGGTGTACTAATACAAGTAATTGCATAGTAAGTAATTGACTGGGTAAGTAATCGACTGGTGTAATAACACAAGTAATTGCATAGTAAGTAATCGACTGGTGTACTAATACACGTAATTGCCTAGTAAGTAATCGACTGGTGTGCTAATACACGTAATTGCATAGTAAGTAATCGACTGGTGTATTAATACAAGTAATTGTCTGGTAAGTAATCGACTGGTGTAATAATACAAATAATTGCATAGTAAGTAATCGACTGGTGTACTAATACAAGTAATTGTCTGGTAAGTAATCGACTGGTGTAATAATACAAATAATTGCATAGTAAGTAATCGACTAGTGTAATAACACAAGTAATTGTGTACTTAATAACTGACTGGTATAATAATACAAGCAATTGTCTAGTAAGTAACGACCTGGTGTAATAATTCAGAAAGTTGCCAATTAAGTAATCGATTTTAATAATTAAAAAAATGCAATTTATTCAACGAAGTCTTAGGAGAGAAGGCAAGACAAATGTAGGTGTGCGGCTGGAAAATAATTGAAAAATGTTATATATTTGTAATGTTTAAATCCAAGGTGCTGTGAACGACACACCGACAGACAAGCCGTATTAAACTAGAGGAAGAGTGAGCAATTGTTTGCTAAATCTATCAGTGTTTTGTTGAATTAAATGAGGCGAAATCACTTACACGAGCTGTAACAGAATCTAATGTGCTATTTATGTTATACAGGCGTCATTTTTTTCTGCTGTCACGATTAAGTCAGGGTTCTCTCTAAATCAAATCAAAGAAAACTTGGCAGCCAAGCAGGCAAATTAGAAATTAAATACTTCTGTCGGTCTTGCAATTCTCTCCGTTCTGTGCCATCAAATCATATTTATTAGAAGTAATTTGTGTTGAAAACTTTAATTTTCCAAATGATGTCACCTCGGTGGCAGCAGAGACTGTATTAGGTGTAACCCAGGCGAGCACGTGTATAATTGCCTGTATAACATTAAAATAGATTCTATTTGTCTCATATCTTTATCTTTGACAACTAGGTTTGACTAAAATGGCGTTGATTCGAATGCGATTTAGTTATAATATTTGGCGAAAATATGAAATGTTCGAGTTTCGCGTTGAATTGATAAAAATACGCCATTCACAAGCGACTTCTTAATATTTTTTTTATTTGATCGTAAATACAAGGATTTCTATCGTATTGCGCAGAGCCCGTTAAAAAAATGGGTTCCAATCCCGTATTCGTCTCTAGTGGCCTGCAGCTTGGACGCATATTCAGAGATTACACGCAGAAAATAGCTTGATCTTTTTCATTATAAAAAGCAAGGCACCAGCAGTATACATACAGATTAGCCATGAAAATTAATCAGTCTTTGTTCAAACATTTTAACCCGATTGTATTAGCATAGTACTCGTAATGGATTAGAACTTGGCTGGCTGGATTGTATTGCGATCTATGAGTACTGTATTTCACGATATATTTGGATAAAACATTCATTTCAAACTGTTTATTTAAATATTTTTTTTATAAACAATGTTGTGTATGCAACGATTAATTTCGAAAGAGAAATATATCGAGAAAATCAATTCATTGCTTTCGAAATAGAAATAAATATTTTTTTGTAGACATTCTTGGCCGAGCAATACGGACAATGTTTCTCCTTTTGTTATTTAAAAAGTACACAGTGTGTGCACCCATCCATATACATATCCTTGGCTCCTACACATGTTGCTGGAATAATTTCAATTAAGTATAAGAGGCATTGACTGCGTGTGTAAATCTCGATGTCCTGTTAAATAACGTATTGCATTAACCACTTCTGCGCTAGTCGTCATACATCCCTGGTCGGAGGGAGTTCACTCTGACACGCCTCGCACCAAACTTATTCGCAGCGGCACCAATGCGATATCACATGAGGTTATTGTTAAGTTACGCAGATAGAGTCGGAGATGACAGAGATGATCCCTGTACCCTGCGTACTAACGGGTTAAACACAGCAACTTTATTAAGGGAAAGCAACTGTCTCCGTTGTTCATTTACTGTCTAGACACGCTAGCTTTCTGGGCGACAATTACGCTTTGTCGTAGGTGTTGACGTTCTGCTAAGATTTCTTAAATAAATCACACCAGTTCCCCCCCTTGCTAGACCAGACCCGCAGCAATCGCCCATGTGTGGTCGCTAAATAGACAAGTTAAACAAACCAATTAAATATTATAAACAGCTAGCTAGCCAGAGGGGTTTGATGAAGGGTCTTCCTTGATGCTAGGCAATGTAAGCCCAATTAGGACTGAACAAAGCATTTCTATGGAACCAACCTAACGTCATTTCCCGTTGCGAATAGCGGTCGACAGTTACTTTTCCAGTTCTTGAAAATCCTATTTGTATTCGCCGCGGCACTACCGAATTGAGGCTGCTCCCTCCTACATTTCAACTAACGAAGACGGGCAGCTAGAAAATGCAAAAGGGGGGGAAATGAGTAGGAAATGTCTGTGGAGTGTTGAAAATTAGAGCTCTCCCATAGGATATTTAATATTAATGCCATTCGGCAAGAGAACTATGACGTTCTCCGTCACCATTGGTCGACCGAATATGTGTTGATAGAGATTAGGAGCGGACGTCAAATTAATTGTACTCCAATTACAGCAGATTTACACTGCCTGCCCTGCTGAGTACATACAAATATACGCACAAGCTAGAAAACTGATCACTTCAAAGTCTCTGGCACTACCGAGCCGCGTGGTGTCTAGTGCAACATCAACAACGTATACAAGTCGTAACACATCTTTTTGCTTCATCTGTATACCTCATAACTGCTTACTGCTATATAGTTGTTCAGAACATTTCAGGAATATCTTTTCACTGATATTTTTTATGAGCTGTTTATGTTTTGTGAAGAAGTACTACCTCTGGCGTAACAAGAATACATCCAGATCTACCGACAACCATATTCAACATGGAATCGACCAGTGTTACTACCAAACCACAGATGTCATCCCGGGCTAACGCGTTCTCGATTGAAGCCCTTATTTCAAACTCAAACACTAATCCAAGCGAAAACCAGCAACAAGACAACGACAAAACAAGCAATGCAATAATTGTACCCACTATTAACACCAACAACAGCAGCAATAACAACAACAACGGAAACATCAGGAATTGTAGCCCAGGCGTGGACCACTCTCTCCGACCTCTTGGTAAGTAGAAGTTAACCAAATATTTAACTTTGCGCTTGTAATTACTGGCAAAATGGTATACTAGACGATGAAGGGAGTCCAATTTACGCAACTAGAGTGGGCACTTATATGATGCATTGTGGTTTATTTAAGGTCGAGGTAAGCTACACTTTGGAAACACACCATGCAAGACAAATGGGAGGAGCTGACACTGTGGCGTGAAAGTGCCCTTCAAAAAAAAAAACTTATTTTTTTTATTTAAAAATAATGCATATATGACCAAATGCTATAGTATCAAGCGCGAGAACGGGTGAGATTTCCAAAGTTTAGCAATAAAGATAATCTTAAACTTATTGCCTCCAAAGCATAGTCCCATACCAATTTTCTTATACAGTGTATTTGTTTTACAGAGGATTTTGTGGAAAAGTCAAGTTGCGTCCAGCCAAGAAATGGCGAAGTCAGTGGCACTAAATCACCGACGAGTTCGTCGTCTTTGCAGCTAGGCGGGGTAGCAGCCCTGGGCACAAATGTCACAGCTCCTGTAATTCACCAGGGAGAGTTAAGTGAAGAAATGTCGAAAATTACGTGTAAGTTAGAGACGAAAGAATTGTGGGGAAAATTTCACGAATTGGGGACGGAAATGATCATTACAAAATCAGGAAGGTGAGTAAACCCGTCGTCGTGTCATACCGATACAGTACTCTTTGAAATTCAGAACTAACTCTGCACACATTGTGTACGAAGGCCGAGCGTGCCAGTACGATCACCACATGGGAAACTCAGCAACTGACGATATAGAAATTATATGAGTAACGGCTTCTAACTCTTCATTACGGACTAAATGTAATTAATTGTCATTATTTGTTCCTATGTTGGCTTGATGAAAACACGAAACAAATTGAGACACTGCTAATGTCCTGTGGGATGCGAAAAGAATAGCGGGATGATAGGGCTTGAGAGCAGTGCCATTGAACACAATCAAATACTTCTAACAAAACACTAATGTATTTTATAACAATATTGAAAATGGGAGGAGACAGGCAAAAGGATCCACAAAATAAATAAAAAAAACAAAACAAAAAACATTGGTTTATGTGAATTTAAAGGAGTTTCAGAAATCCAAGTCAATTAATCATGAGAAATGGGGTAAAAAAAGAGCAACGGTTCGGGTGTTTTGCTAATAAAATAGAGGGTTTTGCATGCATGGTTGCGCGCATGATGCGTGTAACGATAAAAGATTGTCCAGGACTTCGACTGAAGAACCCAGCGATCACTTACTGTAATGTTAGTCCGCCCATAATTGTGCTTAATACCAATAACAAGAGCTAGACAAGCACGCTTCAACGCACCCAACCACTACAACGAGCGATATACATGGTTGCAATGCGAGCAATCCCGGATACTAAGTATGTTTGTAGTCGTAAAAAGAAGTATATTTCTCGTATGAAAGTATATCAGCCATGTCGACCTATAGTTACCAGAACTCAAGTGGCCATGGTTGAATGTTTTGCTTTTTAACTAGTTTTCCCGATAAAAAATAAGGTTTTATTACAGCGATGGCTTGAAATTAAATTATTTAACGTAAACTATACATATTTGCCATCGTGTTATAGATTGTAGTACAAGCCTGTAAATGTTAACACATTGAAAGCTAAAACCATACATGAAAAGAAAATATCACAGATTTTGAATATTATATTTGAAAGCCGGTATGAGTTTCAATAGTGATAATTCATTCGACAAGATATGTGGGTTGCGGTTTAAGCGCAGTACGCGAACAGATGGGCGAATCTTTCTCAAACAGCACATTGGCTCCAGTGGTACATTAAACAATCCGTCTACGTCTCTGGCATTTCTCTACAACATTCTGTCTGATAATTCAGTACTGCTACGTATATGTCAACGTACACGCACTACCGGGACGCTGCGCTTGAAGTCTCATTGGATTGGAAAACTCCGTTTGGCGGATTTTTATTTAAACGCCTAACAATTGAAATAAAACTCCTCAAATCATAAAACCCAAATCAGGAAATATATAACTAAATTTTGGGAGGTCGCTAAATATATTATATCACTTTTTCCTTCTAAAAAGATTTCTATAAATCTGGTTTCAAAAGTGTATATTTCTTAGCTGCGGTTATATTTTATGTTGAAATTCAATCATTTAAATTTTTAGATGTTGATGAAAACCACTCGTCTTGAAAGTGTGGTTACTTTCTGTCGAAGGATGTTTGTCAATAGTGTCGGCTGTCATATTTCTGGTCGCGGTATTACCTTCTCGTTGCATTTTAATTCACAATGTTTTACCAACAACGTTGGCCCTTCCAACACCAATTTTGAAAAAAAAGTTAGCTACGTAGCTTTGGGTTGAAAAAAATGTATAAACCTTAAGTAAAATGACTAATTCATTCTCTACCTATCTTTCTGTCTATAAAAAGTCGGACTTCATTCACTCGCCATCCGGAAACGACTCGTCGCCTTTCTTTTTTCAACAATAAATAATTGGTATCTTAATGAAAACACGCCCTTGGAACCACGCCTTCTGCTTTGACATTTGCCAGCAACGGGACTTTAGACAACGCCGGAGATACGAGTGTCTCCTCCTTTAACGCGACCCGTCGCACTTCGTAGATATCTCTGCACGCCTGTTTTTTTTTTATATTGTTCTCTGCTTGCAGGACACCGTGGTATCAGCGTACATCAGTCGGTTTAGTCAGTAAGTTTAAACACAGCGTGATCAATAAATACAAAAATTGAGTTTCGGGGTTCAAATACTACTTATAAATATCCGAAACAGTTGTGGTATCCGTAAATCGCCGGAATTGACGTGATAACGCTTTTTGTTTTCTAACTGTTCACGTGTGATCGGAGCTGTCCACGTGTGAGTGTTACGGTAGTATCGCACGAGACAATCCCGCATATGATGAATGATCAGTGGAGCTTAACTTTCAACTATAAACTGAATAGTTTTTGTCAGATTTCTATGCATTAATTAGAGATAGTACCCTGAGATAATTCAACTGCACTCGTTGATTTCATTGTTCGAATTTACCAACATGATTGGCATTTAATGCTGGTCCGCCACCGCCTAACCGTAATATGGCCCATTTATTTCACTAGTGTTGCTGTATGCGTTAGTACTCTTGCTGCGCTGAGTACGTGGGACAAATTCTTATCAGTGGCGAAGATTTCGTTAAATCTCCCCTTCTAGGTGGCATGGTTTTCAAACTCAACATTTAGTTTCAATAACTCGTGACTGTATCTGCTAAAAGGCGGCACAAATAGTAAAACTGTGTTGCTTAACGCGAAGCATTACGTGCTAGTCGTTGAACTAGCGTTGAACACAGAATGATTCACCGTCTCTGACATCCACATTCCCAGCAATGAATATATACACAGATTAGAAGCACATTGAAAAACCGAAACTTGAATGAAGTGTTTACTGTAAATGTTGTGATTACGAAAGTTTGATTTCTACTAAATCAATACGGGCTAACAAAATGATTCATAACTACTACCAATTTTGTTATGTTCCATATTCCTATATGCATGACAAAGACGGACTCGAGAATTGGCTCCCATATACGCCAAGTGACATTCAATTTATTTTAGTGAAACGTTATATCCGTCAGCGCTATTAAATTCTAGTTCATCGCAAGACTCATCTCATTTCGACCTGAAATTTATTTCATATTTATCCTTTCTTGACTCGCGAATCTCGTTGGAGATATGAAGTGCAAAGCCTTTGAAATGACTATTCTAATTGTTAACAGCGCGACTGTTGACACTTTTGTTCTAGCGTTAGTTTGCCCGTTACGCGCGGGGATTTCTTTCTAAGCCATCAGCTTTGTATGTACAGTGTTAGCGAGGTGCCTGAATTCAATGGGCATTCATTTCATCCTAAACTTTGATGTGTCTTTTCCGTTTTTCATTTGCCTGATTCACAAAACATTTCTTGTCTTTAAAGCATTTTCTGTGTATTACTGATGAATGAAAGGAAGTCACGTCGACACTGCAACATTGGATGTAATTGGGGTGCCGAGCGTTAGCTACACACTATTGTCTATCCATAAACCCCGGCTTTTGACTTCCCATTTTTTTTATAGTCTCCGATATTGTTGCCGTCAGATTCGATCACTCAAAACGGTTTGTTTTAATCTCAATTTAAATGTATAATTTTCATAAATGTCAAATAAACCTAATAAAACGTAGCCTTCAAGACAATAAAGGAGTTCATTGCCAATGTTCGGATTTCCTGGCATAATTCGTGTTTTGTATTTTCACATCCTTTCACGTCGAGATTAGTCATGACACGATTTCCGTGTGAAATGAAAATACTTTCCGCGTCGCATTGCATATGACTTTCCAATTGCCACGCGAATCTGTTCAATTCTGTCCTAGAAATTGATTTACAACTACACAGCAGAATAATTCAAATTTTATAAAATTTGTTTCTTAATCCCGCCTGACTGCGTTGTGTGTTCGTAATCCACGTTAAATCCAGCACGCTAATCAGTGAGAAGTGAGTTAGGCTTACCACAATAGCCATGTGCCAAAAAGATTAAAATTTGGTCGCGTAGACATGATAACATTATTGTCAGTACCAAACTTGCTGTCACCTTTATTTGTATCTGAAATTTGTATTTACAACAAATCTAAGTGTGTGCATGCATGCAAGAATTGATGTGATCACAGCTATTCACAAGTGATCTCACATACAAGAATTAAATCAGTCGATCGGAGAGATAGCTGTTTTTATTCTGCAACTACTCAATCTATCCAATTTGTGGTGCATCTCTACACTGGAATCAACGACCGGTCTTCTGGAGCTAGTAATTCATATTTTTTAAAAACATTTCGCGTCCTATTTTTCGTGTTAATTCATCTTCAAAATTGTTTATCAATGTTTTCTGTTTTATTGTACTCTGGAGTCGGGTTTTACGAGTTTGCGATAACAGTTACTGTAGTGCACTTTAGTGTACGGCCAACCCTGGACACGGAACGTTACATTTACGTAATTTACACGCAAAATAGAGATGAAATGTGAACACAGATGTCTGTGTGTTGAAGCATGAAACCTTACAGTTCAATAGTATCTGATGAACGCTCCCAGGAGTCGCATTTTCAACGCCCATGTCGTTTCAAACACACGCACCAAACAATTCTAAAACTGAAGAAGGGGAAAGCGAACAAAATTAGCTCCATGTATATGGATAGTTACGCGTAATAGCCCGGTACGTGTAACCGGTATTTTCTGAGAGGGAGAAGAACACGACAGACAGTCGCGTGAAAATTAATGGTATTAAACAAAATGTACAGAAATTGAAACTTTATTTAATTAAATTATTGAAGGTCGCTTGTTTAAATGATCACTTATAAGAAGTGGTTTGTCATTTCGCCGTTGTTTATTAATATTTAAAAGTATAATAAGGAATCGGACAATAACGTTTACTCTTTCCCAGCGGCAGCTATTAATAATAACATGTTGACATAGAAAACGGTACGGGATACTAATAGGGGTCCTAAAGCAATACACATTATATCAATTGTCGACTTCAGTAACATTTTAGGATGTGCTTTTTTCATCTTTAATGGCATTATTATTAAAACCTATTTTGTTCTTCCTGAATAGCATTTATGCAATTCGAGATGACGAGGAACATATATCGTTGTTCGGTTCTTGTTTAGTCACCCTAGTTTCAGTAATAAAAATCATAACTTCATCCTGAGGTCATAAGGTCAATATACTAACAGTGGTTCCAATTGAGTTAACCTTGCGTGTCACACTAACGATATGACGTCATTATTTCTCCTTGGTGTACAAAGCTATAGTTTCAATCTGGCGTATATTCTATAATCCTGGGTACAATTTAATTTGTGATTTTATATATATGGTTCTAAGTAGAAGTGTGCGTGTTTTTGTAATTGCCTACTCCACCCCGGTGCGTTTTATTGATCAGAAATTTTCCATAATTTGAGAAATGTGTCTTCTAAGTTTCTAGTGTTTTTCCAGTGATATATATTTATCCGTTAATTTGCAACTTCACTAAAATTATGCTCCTCTTCTTTTGTAGACGGATGTTTCCTACCCAGAGAGTTTCGTTCAGTCACGTGAATCCAGAGTCCCGCTACGTGGTGCTCATTGATATCGTACCCGTTGATAACAAACGGTATCGCTACGCCTACCATCGGTCATCGTGGCTGGTGGCCGGTAAAGCCGATCCTCCGTTACCAGCACGGCTTTACGTTCACCCAGATTCACCATTCACCGGAGAACAGCTACACAAACAAATGGTGTCGTTTGAAAAACTAAAACTTACCAACAATGAATTGGACCAAAGTGGACATGTAAGTTATATTTTATATATCGGAATTTTTTTCAAAATAAATATTTAACGGCCATGTTTTAGGCGCGTCATTATTTTAATCGCTACCGGCTCCACGACCTTCATGTGGCGCATCGCCAATCTGCCTGCTAGCTTCCCCGTGCACCCCATGATTTGACCGAGCAACTAAGACATATACGTGTTGACACCTTAACACATTGACGGCAGCATATTGGCTCATCCAATGGCTATCTTAAACGCACACTTCGGCTCATCTATCAAGCAACATCTACCTTCAATTACAACACTATCGCTGTTCAATATCAGACACTTTGTAAAGTGGTGAGATATGGCCAGAGTATTTGTTTGGGGCCTGGCTACTAACGCTGCTTTGCTGATGGCTCCTCTAGGTATTCTGTGTTCCCATGTGATTTTGATAAAATGACATGTTTGTTCTTTTCTTGTTTGTATTTGATTGAGTTTAACGCTTTCTAGACAATTTGAACTGGCACTGCAGCGCTCCCAATAACGTAGTAAAACGTCAGCGCTCTGGATGTGTTTATTAGCCATTTGCTGTTAACACGGTGTATGATGATGGTTGTTGAATCGATGATGTAAATATACCCGATTGTGGCAACTCTTTTAGAAATCGTTTAGACTTTTCACGCAATTTGTCTTAAGACGTGTCATTTACATATATTGCAATAAATGACATAGGTGCAAGTGATGAGGATTTGTCGAGTGGGAACCAAACTTGATGACATTCAACTATTTCGTTGTATTGACAAAATGGACGTGTACATTGTTAACGTCATAAGAATTAGACAATTCTTAAATTTCATTTTATCAATATTTACACTACTGCATTTAGTTTGAGCGATTTAATTCGAGGGTACTAGGATGCTAGTGATGCCTTCCCGCGAAAACAAGCATTCCGTTCATTTACGATGACTGAATTAGAGGAATTGAAAGGAGTTAAAATTATTAGAGACTAGAACAAGTGAACAAAGGCATATTAAGTCGCGGACTCGACAAAATAAAATATTATGAAGTTACATTTAATTTCGTTTAACGCTTGTCACTTTGTCCAAATCAATCAATGGTAGGCATGTAAGAAGAGGGTGAAAGGTCGCTAGGTTCTATTTCGTTCTGCCTAATACCACAATCCTCTACGGTGAAATTGAAATATCACCCACAACAAATTGATTCGAATTTGTTATATTGTTCCTTTTCATTGACGGTTGTTATAAAGGGAATCGGTTTATCGAGTGGGTTTGATTTGAAGTGCGGATCTTTGCAAACGAGAAGATATTGTCATCGAGTCTAATTAGTCATTTCATCATAATACATGGTGCCATCATTCACGGGATTTAGAGATTAAGCCCATAAAAGTAATAATTCGTCTAAATTAATACGAATCGTGGGCATTTACCTTGTCACTACATATACAGTGAGTGAATTTTCATTTAACTAGTTTTGTTAGACCGACCTTCTGGATGACACTTCTGTGGTCTGCCTTTGCTTACCCGGTTGATGAGTCTAAGCCTACGCTGACTTCTTTTATTGTTTTCTTTCCTCCCCATGTAAATTGGCAGAATAATTTACCAAATTAGATTGTCGGTAAAGAAAAGCCAATGTAGTGAATTGTTTGTATAATATTGGTGTTATTGTGTCAACTTAATTAACAAAGTACTATCAATCACCGCGCACTACGTGTTTGTAATGAACAAGACAGAGCGATGTACGGCGTCAGAAGGCAGAATTACAAACAAGAACTCTCTCCTATTTAATCGTTTTCGCTTCTGGGTGACGAAATGTTCAAATAAAACCATTTAAATGTTTTGTTGCAGCATAGTTGAAATAGTAGTACACTCACCTAGCAGATAATTGAAAGAACAAATCGTTTTCACGAACGAAAATGGTTCTATTGTCGGATCGGATCTAGAGTGCATGGCACTGTCAAAATAGCATGGTATACAAAGTTGAACGCTTCTTTTTAAATGCTCTTTATATATATATAACATACACTAGGTAATCCTAGGTGTTTTTAAATTTGATAATGAAACATTGAATTCGGGGACTGCGCGTCATCAGTGTGTTGAGACAATCTGGTTTATCATACTAATTCTCGTTCGCCGCCACGTTTATGCAAGGATATATTATCACGGCTATAAAGGAAACAAAATGTTGTATTCAAGTGCTGTAGTTTGCAGCGTGAAGAGCTTTCTCTTGACGAAATCTCGAGATTTGTGTGCTTGTCTTACACCTGAACATTTCAACACAAGCGCATGCGCAGAGCGATTAAAGTAGAGATGGGGCTTACGGAATTTTGTGACTGGGGGTTTTGTCGGATTTGTTTTGCGGTTGTGAGAAATTGTTTGCGATTTTTGACAGCCTTGTTTTAGTGTTGATCAGGGAATACCTGTACACAAATTTACCGTCACTCATTGACGGAATCCTATTGCTATGCCAAGATTGCTTAATTTATGTAGGTACCTTACTTACTCTGAGCGCTCCCATGTGGACGACGATGTATGTTTCACAGCCCATGTTTGATTTCATGCCGACTTAGATCCAAAATCGGGATTGTCGTTTAGGCTGCAAGTACTAAACCATAGTAAATACTCCCTGAACCCGAGCTAAAGGTTGTGGATGAAGCCATAGATAAACCTGTCAGCGAGACCAGTCATATTGAAAACTATGACGTAATTAGAGTTCTGAGTATGTTGTGACGTAACGCCTAAATTTAAATTATTAAATACGTCATGCTTGTAACATGTTGCGAGGTATTTTGAAAACTGGAATGAACAGTTGAATTAGCATCTGACATAAAGGCCCATTCAACTTCCATTTATGACTATGAGGTTGTTGATTCAATGTGTGGATTCGTTAAATATACAAAACTACTTTGATGTTGATAAAGTTTTTTAAAAGTAGATTGTGTAAATGAATTCAAAAACGTTAGTTATCGCATCTATTTATTAACTCAATGCGTCATGTATAAGCTGTGTTTCAGTTGAATCCATTTTCTTTCCCGCATTAAATTTGTTTGATCTTTGTATTGCAAATTCTCTTCATTTTTAAATACAAAGTATTGATTACTGAAATCACGGTTAGTAACCGTGCTGAAATACATTTGCAAACGTTAGAAAAAACAGTTATTATTCACCACGTGTGTGTTGTCAACGTATTCGATTCTGTATATTTAAGTGAGTCAATACATTTAGCATTTCATCCTTGAAAATCTGTGTCGAGACATCATATTGGTGGTCCAATGCATTGATTGAATCGTGCATTACTTTGAATTGCTGCATTTTTTTCTCACAAAAACTCCTCCAACGTAAACAACGGTCAATCTCTAATCTATCAAGCTTTTCTCGTTTTCATCTGTCATTCGCCTCCCCATAAATCCATGTTATCCAATTGCTTGATTTCTATCGCCAAGTAATGTTTACATAAAAACTTATATCGTATTTTCTAATCAGAAAACCTCGTATATTTTTGTCTTCTCCTATGCACAGATTATTTTAAATTCAATGCACAGATATCAACCCCGGGTGCATATCATCAAGAAGCGAGACAATTCTTCGCCGATTGTTAGCTTGCAGAATGAAGAATGTCGTACCTTTATTTTTCCAGAGACGATGTTTACAGCGGTCACTGCCTATCAGAACCAGTTGGTATGTCACTTGAATTATATGTTGTGTTTCAGAACTTTGCCATCATATTAATTTCATTAAAGAAAAGTCAACGATATGTAGTGATGAAAAAAAACAGCGCAGGAAATGGTGTTATAAAAACAATTATTTCCATAATTGCGGTATACACAGGGTCTTCCTTTATAAGACATGTATGGCATTAATATAAAAAACTTCAAATGTTATGATATTTAACAAAAATGAGAATTTGCAAATTGAACCGAGTATCGCATGACGTCACCTAACCGACAACTTCCTGGTCAGCAATGTATTTTTTTGAAAAATATTATTGGTAAATACAATATTGGCATGGCCCGCATTACGATGATATATTGTTATATTCTGCTGTTTGATGTAATCGGTTTGGATCAAGTTGATAGGACCCACGGATAATCGTGTTTATCGCATTACATTGACAAAAAAAACACGAAATCGTTTGAGGAAATAATAATTGGTATGATTGTTGTGTGCATTGGATCTGAGCAATCAACTGAGATAAGGAGTAGGTTGGCAAGGACTCATTCTCATTGACGACATCTTTACAGATTATCGAAATTACAGGTTTGCCACAACTCTTTGTCACGTGACAATTAATCAGCGCTGGGTAGCCACTTCTAACCCCAATAGACAGATACCTATTGCTGTTCTTATCAATACCTATAACCTAGTACGCATTATCTACCATCTTTAGGTAATACGGGCACAATCCGTCAAAGTACACCAATATTTCGTTTTACTATCTCTCAAACCGTGATATCGTAATTCATGTGTCTCGTTAAAGCCAAACACAATGGCCCACGCGTTTTTTGTGTTAATCTTGTCAGTGACATCCGAAGCCCAAGTGCATAGTTTGAACTTGGGGTAATGAATCTCAGGAAGGGTGACTTTGCAGTTTAGACAAATCCCCGCCGTGACACAGCCCGTAAAAAATAAGTCGTTGTGTCAAAGTGTTCACAGGTGCTCATTTATCATGGAGTTTATGCGTGAAATTCTGTAAAAGTAACAGTGAATGAAGGATTTAATAATTGAACGAATGAATGAATGAAATAACGAATGATTGAATGAATGATAGACATTTTAAATCGAAATAACACATAAACTCATAAATAATTACTGCATTACCTTTGCTAGTTTATTGTAAAACATAATCCGACTTATACTCACAGACGATTGGCTTTCAGGCTTGTGTTTGTTTTGAAATGAAGCATCCCGTTAAAGTGACAATTTCTACTCTTAAACTGCGGAATTAGAACAATATCTGTCAAACACACTACTATTAAGTGTAAGCGTGAGCTTGCTTTTGCTTAAAAGACATCGAATGCAGTCTTTGTGAGTTGAAGATTTCGTAATTCGCTGATGGATTCAATGGACTCAGTGCTAATGTGACAATGTTTAATGAGTCATCTTCCATATCAGCGACACAAATGCGACGCGTGTTACACACATCGTTCGAAATGGTAATACGCAATCACAAATCAGGTCACTTGTGCGGTCTCCGAAAAGCGTCACCCTTACGCTTGCCTGTCACTTTATACACGGGCCAGTTGCAGAATGAAAGAGCCAGTAAAGAGAAACGCGACAGGAGAGAGCATGTTGTCGTAAAACCCCAGTTGCACTTTGTCTCTACGTGGTATTAATTACTGTTATCTTGCCTCTCTGTCACTTGGTGTCTCCACAAGACAGATTGCCTCCATGTCTGCCAGGTTAAACCCCGCAGTTCATTCATCATACCGTCAGTTGTTGAGGGACACACTTTCTTTCTGCATTGATTATATCAGTTTAGAAATCACCAAGAATAAAACACCACACACCGCGAAATATTTCATAAAATTAAACAGATCATAAATATATTAATATATATAATATGATATATTAATATTTGCGATCGTCTTTACAAGCGTCCCATTCCGGACCATGTGACCATTGATGACGTCTAAAAAGTGATATCGGACTCAGTATAACGCCACTCCAGATTGGAATATTACAAATTATCTCACCCAATTTTACAGATAAGCATCTCTTGTTCCCTCTTTCCATGGAAACCAAGTGATGATGTACGATTGTCTTTCTAATTCGGGAGCAGATGTTTATCACAACTGACAACTTTTTTCTATGAAAAATTTGTCTTAGGTCAAGGGCACTGGGGTAGAAATTAACACGCCCTCTCATAATGACTTTATGTAAATCTAAATGACGATAATTAAACGAGAAATTAATTCATTTTGTCTTCAACGGGTGACGTCAGAAGATAATATGAACCCATATATAATTACCAAACTGTTAATTTTTTATTCGTCCAGCTGGCTTGCTTGTAGGTTTCCAGTTTTGTTTGAAAACTAAGACTTCGGTGAATCTAAGCATGACTTTAGTAGATAAACATAACCTTTTCACGCTCTCATTCACTACTTCCTAACTTATATTCGACTGTCCAGTTTCTTTATTGGGTTTTCCGCCGTCACAGAGCGTCATGCGTTTCAAGAATATAAACTTGAACGTGATACGTGTTTGAATTTAATTTCAATTGATCATTTATAGTAAGAATGTCTGTGTGATGGTAGAAATTAATTGCGGAAAATAATAAGTATTATTATGAGTTGACATGTGTCATAATTATGGCATGCAAGAACTATTTCCCTGGGATGACATATGTCTGTATTATGAATAAGTGAGAGTGTATTCCCGAAATTAAATAGCATAGCGGGTAAGCAAGAATTGTTTTTGTTGAGATGGCATATGTGAATATTATCAGAGGGGGGTGCCGTATATTTTATAAATGGTATATGCACTTTTACCATTTAACGGAGGATTGAGTGTAATCTGGTCTAAAGTAAAATACGTTAATATTACAAACTGCATATCAAAGTGAAAGTAGTTGAGAATATTCAAACGTTTTCTCTTTTTTTTTTGTTAATACAGATTACACGGTTGAAGATCGACAGTAACCCGTTCGCTAAGGGATTCAGGGACTCGTCTAGGTTAACTGATTTAGAAAGGTGAGAAATTTACTTCTTGTTCCCAGAACACTAGAGAATTTCCATGTTACGAGTGTGTCGTGTTAACGACATGCGACCAGTGCGCACACTGCTGGACTCCCCTGGGTAACGTAAATAAGCATAGAATCGCCAGCATCTGGTCTCCCTAAGTACCTCTTAATAACACCAGTCCTCAGTGTATCACTTTAGTATCCTACTAGATGTTTGCCATTTTTTTTAAAGTCTCCTCATAACATCGTCATATTGTAGTACTACCCATTCCTACCAACAGACAATGACATTCAGACATAACTGCTCGCCAATGAGCCTATCTTACCTCCTCGAGACATTTCGATGAAGGAGACAACTCGGGGAAAACATCCATGAACTTGAACTGTCACAGTATGTCAAGTGATTATGTGACGGGATAGCGAATCACATAGACATGATGTAGAAAAAAAACGTGCATCCCCCAAAAAGGATGCCTGATAGCCGAGCTTATTGCGCGCAGAGACCCTGTAACTCATTAACGCCGATCCACTTAGTCGAGAGAAAGACGCGCCGTCGCTAGCTAGGCGACGCGAGCGTCGGCTCGAATCACATACGCAGTACATGCTTAATACTTTAATATTTTACAAATTATTTCCCTTGCCGTATATTCGGTGTTATTTACTTGCTTTACTTTCTATGTCAGCAGCTATTATGAGTTTACAATCATTTCACATTACTATAGTGGAATGCCCAGGCTATTAACAGTCTAGGTAAATGCACATGTCAAACACACACACACCGTAAATGGAAGATGGCGATATAAAATGATATTTACTCAAGGTAACCTGCAGACGAGCCAAACATGAAATATGGAAAACTGAGAGATCACATCGATAAGAGTCAGTCGTCAAGGCGAAAGGGGAATTAAAACAATTTCCACCGCCGTGAGTTTTATCAGAAAGAATTTCTATTCCTTATCTCTTGATTTCATCAGTTGTCCTCTTCAAAGCTCCCAAGTAACCGTCAATTGTAGAATTTCACTTTTTACCAGTCTATATAGTCCATAGGGAGTTGCTATATGAGTGAGACATATAGAAATGTGACGTGTACAATTTTCAAAACTCAGTGTTCAATTTGCTATATTGCTGTTTGGCCCAAAGGGCTACTTAGATCCCACTCTCTCAATTTACATACCGTGTTGTTATTTCGTGATTTTCTAACACAGGGTCCTTTTAACAGCAATTAAACTACGTAGGGTATGCTATTAATATAAAATTAATGATTAAATCCCTTCTATATTGTATATACGTATATAATACTGGTTATGTGTGAAACGCCGTGTAATATCTGGAAACACATCGTTTTAGACAACCTGTGGTGAAACACCAGGTGTATTGTCGGAACCATGCATGTCAGTGTCCCATGATCTGTCAAATAGTAATACAACGTGCATTTACTGTCCGCGTGTCGATCTGAGCTTACGATATTACAACAAAATATGGTAGTCGAAGAGACAATACTGCTTATAAAACATACAATATTATGATTTGCCATGAACTTATAAAGGTTGTTTTCATCCCGCATAATTAATATAAAACTGTTAATTAATACGAACTCTTAACTTTTGAACAGTAATTCATTATTTCGTCGTATGTTGCAAATCGTTACCTATTGTGTATATCAGTTCATTAACAGTGCTGCACAACACAAGTTATTTTTTTTAACACATGATATACGTACCAATTATCTCATAAAAGCTATCGCGACATCTTCGTCGTTTGCATATAATTTGCATATAGTTGTCAGCCTACATACTTGATTCACAGTTCATCTGTAAACAGTTATCCGCGTTAAAATACAACACTTCAATTATTTCATTTTATGGCCATTTTAAGATTAACTGGTGTGATTAAGACAGTCATCAGCGGATTATGCAAATTATCGTAAATCTTAATTCTTTTTTGCGTCGCCCAGAAAATGGACTATAATTGATCTCAGTGGCAAGTTGTCGGATTTCACTCAAGTTCTAAATGAAGTTTCAAGATATATCTCCTTCTAAATCATATACAATTCAAATATGTTCGACATGAGTTTGAACATGAAAATATTAGTATTATATAATATATTCCCAAACATGGTTGTGTCTCTGAAACGTAAGCAAACAGCTCCCACGTAAATGTATATTTTGATGTAACGCCAATTCCCGTTGAACGTCGTAATGCATGCGAGTTTCCCGGGCCGGGGGTGTAGTCAATGGAAGTATATGAAAGAAGTCAGAAAGCTGAACACAGTAATTAATTATAGACTCATCACTGTGCCCAAGGTATAAGTTGTCTTACATGCGAATATAAGATACAATAACCTCGTCCATCCGACATCGCAGTGCTAGTAATAAGCCTTCACAGAGTATTAAAATATCCGATAGCAAAAACTAAACATATTAATTTCCGTATTTTCTACTGGTATTACACAGCGTCATGTACAGTAGTTAGCGCTAGTAGGCTGGCGGGACGGCCGCAGGGCAGATATAAACTCTGTATCTCCTCCAAAAAAAATGGGAAAGCTTTTACGTGATTTCACAAAAATGAAGTACTTAATACAATAGAAGGCTACTCATCCCTGTTCATCTCATACACATAGAGTTTAGCACTTCCTTTACTTCCTGATTGTTTAATTTGCCGTCAGCTATACAACTCTTAATCTCTTCCCAAGGCCCAGAGCTGTGACTCGACCAAACTTTTACCTTTGAATTGCGTCTTTTGTCATAGCCAAAGTTTGTAGTGTGATTTTTCACGGACAGGATCGCCGCATGTCAAAGTGATACGATGAGTTTTTACCAGTGTACAAAAGAAGCGCCAATGTTTGAAACCAGGGGAACTGTACGCAGTATTGCGATGCAAACCTGGGTGGAATATTAATAGAAATGTACGTATACATGAGTGAAACCATAATCCAACATCCACAATTAACACACTGGCATAATTTATTTAATTAAAATCTACTATAATAAGTAAATAAATAAATATTCCAAATAACAGCACACCGCACTAATTAAGAAGATAGAATAAAACAAATCACAAATGTTTGCAATTTACCGGCGAATACGGAGATTGGCGATGAAAGTTACTGCTGTGTCGGTCCTTTATGCATCTTTCATGGCCACTGATTACTACAGTGTTTATGCTCAAATTGAAAGCACTTGGACTGTAAATTAAATGGGAAAATAGTTAGAACACTGTCGCCGAGTCCAGACTGTCACTACTAATATCGTATATGCAATCTGTTGTGTGTCTGCTAGCCGATACCTCTACCCAATTGCATATAATCTCATGTCCTATACTATACAGACCAGCGATCAACGTTTTTCATTACCATCTATAACGCTCATGTTATAGATGTCTGTTTTTTATCATGTTGACCGTTTTTTATGTATTATTATTTTTACACCCGTATGATTAGAAATTTATGTGACTCCATATTTGTATTTAATTTGCGTTATCCTTGTAACATGGACTGTCACATTATTATACTTCGGGTATTATATTGGAAATATGAATATCAGTTATAATACCGATCTCTGTGCTATGAAGCAATATATTGGTGACTGTTACTCTGGTAGCATCGTTTAAGAAAACGTGACTTTCTATTTTCATTACAGATTTACGCATATCTTTTCCGTCTGTCAACAAGCTATAAATGTGCTTTTTTTCACTTACGTGACGTTGTACGTCATTCGATCCACGCTCAATATTTCAATTGCTTTTAGTAATTTAACACTACAAATTTGCTAAAAAACAATACCCGTATCACTTTTGTTAAGGCATTGTGTTACTTCCATTTCATACCTCCATTATCTTGGGAGACACAACCCCCTCGCAAAGTTCCCCACGTACGTGATACTCCCTTTTCAATTTTTCTTTTTTCTTAAAGATAACTCCTGTCGTCTGTGAAATGCGTCTTGTTGATTCCAATCTATGTTCAATACTGAATTTGTACGTTTTGTTGATTTATCAATCTCACATTGTCTCTTTTAGAGCTCCCTATAGTACTCTCAAATTGAGGGATATTTAACTTTCTACGTGTAATCTGATTCGTCTCAAATCATTCCCCATAATATCTAATTCTATCTCCTCCCTCCCATCTATATCTATTTCTACCCGCTCCTTTTACATTACCAACCCAGTTCATCTCTCATTCAACTTCCATCATTTTGGCAAACTTTTAACATTTTCTGATTCAAAGGAGTTTCTTGGGAGTATTTTGTTTTTAACTCAACTCGAAAGACCGTTTGAATAGTTCAACAGTATCATTAATATCTTATCATTGATTTAAATCACCGCCTTCGATTATTGTTCGCTCATTTCTTTGATGGTGTAATTTCTCCGTGTGGTATTAGTTGATGTGTTCACTGTCGACACTAACGAGTTCACATAAATAGAAAACAAAGCACCATGGGATATCTACTGTACTTACAAGTAACATATCCACAATTTGTGTCCCCAAAGTTTATTATGACTTCCGCATGTAAGAGAACATTGGGACACATTAGAAAATACCGTCAGACAGGCGTATTGGCGTGAATGTTCTGCAGTGTCCATCGTTACTGTTTTGGTTTTATCAGTACTAGGAACACAACATGATTGTTCTGCAGTGTCCATCGTTACTGTTTTGGTTTTATCAGTACTAGGAACACAACATGATTGTTCTGCAGTGTCCATCGTTACTGTTTTGGTTTTATCAGTAG